TACTCAGCGGTGTAGATAGATTCGATTGCTCCGCAAAACCTCATCAGGGACTCAAGAATGGTTGATTTCCCCATCCTCGTTATCTCATCCACTTGGTCTGCAGATGCTCCATATGCAAGCATCCGCACGGCAGCAGTAATTTTTTGCTCAGGCAGTAGACCCATAGCACCAAAAGCATCTTTTTTTTTGCACAAAATAAGAATCATGGTTGCAAACAGCAATCATGATTTTGTTGAACAAATGTCGTTCCATTCTAAAAGGACGTTTAAAGTACGTATCAGGGAATGCACTATTAGGAACAAAATAATCATCCAAGAGTTCCATACCTCGTCGTTGCCTACTTCTATCAAGGTTTCCGGAATGGCTGGGCCTGCAAATCTGAGCCGCAGCTTGGATGACTCGACGGGAATGTGAGGCTCTGCCCTTTCTTACTTCGTCATCTCTCATTTGATGCTCCTCATCCTCTTCCCTCTCATTTCTTACCCCCTGGTGATTGAACATTTCTAACCATGCATGCATGTGTGTTAGCTATGGAGAGGCACCATGGATCCGCAAGGACACGGAAAATGAATGTACGAAGAACACCGCATGCTCGCAGATCAAATGAGGATGCATGAGAAGACAGTGAAGTCATGGATCCATGAACGCATGCAAACTACAACCGGAGCTCGCCGATCCGAAAGCAAAGGTATAGATCTACACTCACCAATGTTTAGTCTTGATTTTTTTTGTTTGGAAACCGAAACTTAATGAATTTCAGTCTCAGTAGTGAGAAATAGGCCCCCTATGACTGGATCAGGATGTAACAGAATAATATGAGACCAAATGTGACTTGGAACCAAAACGTTGAAGACCCTAGATCCTGTTAACAATGTGACCAACAAAAGGACTAATAGGACTACACACTGCGTTTTGAACTTAGTAACTGCATGCTCCATTGATGTGAATATGCCCAGTCAAATTACAAGTTGCTGGTGACCCTACTTTTGTATTCTTGCAAGGTACAAGACTTCAATCGGCAAGTAGAAAGATGGAGGTCCACCAGACCGCAACGATCCAAGAAACTGAAGGTATAAAACTCGTGTTTTGCGCTGATGTAGAACTAGATCTGCACTTGGAAACCCCCAAACTTTAACGCTGTCATAAAGATATGTTGAATTAGTATCTCATACTCAAATATTGTTTGCAGGTTCGTACAGTCGAGCGAGGCTCAACCAAATGGAGGTACTGGGAAACCAAAAGAAATTCCCAGATGCGCATTTGCATAGGTATAATCCCGAACGTGCTCCATATTTCCTTCGTCGATTTATGCTTTGAGTAACTGATATGGTTGATGGTAAAGTAGACTTGCTGCTAGGTGCATGATTCCAGCACTTTCCATTCTGTTTCTTGTTTGTGCCTTGCATGTTTTGAAAGCAACCTGCATATTCGTAGACCTGTGTATTAGATTCGCTTAGATACTGCCAGAAAAAGATAAATTAAAAACAAAATTTTTTTGTATTTTTCAAATTTTATTTTTATTTTATTTTTATTTTTATTTTTATTTTTTATAATAAGTGAAACAAAAGTAATGACATTAACAACCATAAAATACTTGACTGAATTTAACAGAAACTAAAAAGAATAGGGATAGAAAGTTGGGTTGCCTCCCAATAAGTGCTTTAGTTAACGTCTATAGCTAGACATTGTTGAAGGTTAGTGGTCAAATCACTGGTTCCTTTAGAGTCATTGACTTGGCTGCAATGTCAAATGGTACTTCCAAGTAGTGTTTGAGTCGATGACCATTTACTTTAAACTCAAAACCTGTCTCCTCATTTTTAATATCCACAGCCTCGTGTGGATAAACTTTAGTAACAATATAGGGACCCTGCCACCTTGATTTTAATTTTCTAGGGAATAACTTTAACCTTGAATTGAAAAACAAAACCTTTTGACCTGACTGAAACTGTTTGTGAAGAAGTTTGCTATCATGGAATGCTTTTGTTTTCTCTTTGTATATCTTTGCACTCTCATGTGCATCATTTCTGAGTTCTTCCAACTCGTGCAATTGCAATTTGCGTTTTTCTCCAACTGCATCATACACATAATTAAGCTCCTTAATTGCCCAATAAGCCTTATGTTCAAGCTCCATAGGTAGATGGCACGCCTTACCATAAACAAGCCGAAAGGGAGACATCCCAATCGGTGTTTTATACGCTGTTTTATAGGCCCATAAAGCATCATTTAACTTAACACTCCAGTCTTTGCGGCTGACATTGACTGTTTTCTCTAAAAATACGCTTAAGTTCCCTATTAGAAACTTCAACTTGCCCAAAAGTTTGAGGGTGGTATGCAGTGGCCACCCGATGACTTATCCCATATTTAGCAAGTAATGCAACAAATTGTTTATTTAAAAAATTGCTTGCCCCCACCGCTGATAATTGCCCTAGGTGTTCCAAAACGTGGAAAAATAATGCCCTGGAGGAATTTCAGTACCACAGATCCTTGATTTGTTGGTGTTGCAATGGCCTCGACCCACTTAGAAACATATTCAACGGCCACCAATATGTACTGATTGTCATTGGATGATGGGAATGGTCCCATAAAATCAATGCCCCAAACATCGAATAATTCAACCACCAAAATACTTTGTTGTGGCATTTCATTTCGCTTAGACAGATTTCCCACTCGTTGACATCTATCACAAGCCTGATATCATACATGAGCATCTTTAAAAATAGAAGGCCAATACAACCCGCTTTGTAATATTTTAGCTGCTGTTCGTTTTCCCCCAAAATGACCACCACAAGCATGCTAATGTGCAAACGTCAGAACACTTTCTTGCTCTTCTGCATGAATACACCTACGAATAATTTGGTCTGGGAAATACTTGTATAGGTAAGGCTCATCCCAAAAATAATATTGAACCGTTGCTAAAAACTTTTTCTTTTGCTGGAAAGTTATATCTGGCTGCAAAATACCCTTAGCCAAACAATTGACAATATCTGCAAACCACAGAGTTTTGCTGCAAATGGCCATAAGTTGTTCATCAGGAAAACTCTCATTTAAAGGAAGTAAATCATCTTCAGCTGGGCTGATGCTGACCAGCCTGGATTAGTGATCAGCCACAACGTTTTCACTGCCCTTTTTATCTCTAATTTCTAAATCAAATTCTTGCAGAAGCAAAACCCAACGAATTAACCTTGGCTTGGCATCTTTTTTAAATAATAAATATTTCAATGCAGCATTGTCTGTGTAAATGATAACCTTAGCCCCAAGCAAGTAAGATCTAAACTTTTCCAATGCAAAAACAACTGCCAATAACTCATTTTCAGTGGTTGCATGATGCTATTGTGCATCATTTAATGTCCTACTAGCATAGTAGATGACTTGAGGAATTTTATCTTTTCTCTGACCAAGAACTGCCCCAATTGCATAATCAGAAGCATCATACATCAACTCAAATGGTAAACCCCAATTAGGTGCAGCAATGATAGGAGCTGTAGTTAAAACTGTCTTTAACTTGTTAAATGCCTCTAAAAAATTAGCATCAAAATTAAATGGGGCGTCCTTAGCAAGTAGGTTGCACAAAGGACGGCTAATCTTGGAGAAATCCTTAATGAACCGTCGATAAAACCAGCATGTCCTAAGAATGATCGAATGCTCTTTACTGTAGTAGGGGGCGGCAAATTGGCAATAACATCAATCTTTGCCTTGTCAACTTCAATTCCTTTGTTTGAAACAAGATGTCCCAAAACAATGCCTTGTTTTACCATAAAATGACACTTCTCCTAGTTTAACACTAAGTTTGTTTCTTGACATCTCTCAAGAACTTGAGATAAATTTTGTAGACAAAGATCAAAACTATCCCCAAAAACTGAGAAATCATCCATGAATACCTCAACAATTCTTTCAACCAAGCCTGAAAATATGCTTATCATGCACCGTTGAAAGGTGGTTGGTGCATTACATAGCCCAAATGGCATCATCCGATAAGCAAAAGTACCAAATGGACAAGTGAAAGTGGTTTTCTCTTGATCCTCTGGTGCAATTGGAATCTGATTATACCCGGAATACCTATCTAGAAAACAATAAAATGCTCGTCCAACTAACCGTTCCAACATCTGGTCAATGAAAGGCAATGGAAAATGGTCTTTCCTTGTCCTTGCTTTAGGCTTTCTGTAGTCCACACACATTCTCCAACCCGTAGTCAATCTTGTAGGAATTAACTCATCATTATCATTTTTCACCACGGTAATACCTGTACGCTTAGGCATAACTTGTGTAGGGCTAACCCATTTACTGTCAGAAATTGGATAAATCATGCCTGCATCAAGTAGTTTCATTACTTTGTTCCGCACAACTTCTTTCATGATAGGATTTAACCTTCTTTGAGCATCAACTATCGGCTTTACGTCATCCTCCATCAATATTCTATGCATGCAAATTGTTGGGCTTATACCCTTAATATCAGCTATGGTCCACCCCAATGCATCTTGGTATTTTCTTAAAACACGCAGTAATTTTTCCTCTTCTATGCTTGTCAAATCTGAAGCAATAATAACTGGCAGCGTTTCATTTACCCCAAGATGTGCATATTTTAAATGTTCTGGCAATGGTTTTAGCTCCACTTTTGGGGGTTGCAATTTAGAAGGTTTCAGGGGCGTTTTCAGCACTCCAAGGCTTTCGTAAACATGTCTCCAACGTGGTAATTGGGCTGGTACATTGTCTAATGCTGTTACATACTCAAAAATGTCTTCATCCTCTGTTTGTGTTGTATCTGGACTATGTAAAACACTCAATAATGGATCAGATGTCAACCTGGTCATAATTTTTGCATGAATAACACATTCTAACACATCTGCCCGCACACACTCTTGCTGCCCTTCTGGGCGTTTTGCAGCTTCAAATAGGCTAAAAACCACTGATTGGTCTTGGACTCTAAATGTTAAAGTACCTGCTTCCACATCAATCAATGTTCGGGCAGTGGCCATAAAAGGTCTTCCCAAAATAATTGGTGTTTACAAATCTTCATCCATGTCCAAAACCACGAAATCTGCTGGTAGATACAAATTGTCAGTCTTGATAATTAAGTCTTCAATAATCCCCTTAGGATAAGTAACAGAACAATTTGCTAGCTGGAGAATAATTGATGTAGGCCTTAGATCTCCTTGGCCCAATCTCTGAAAAACAGAATAAGGCATTAAATTAATACTAGCACCTAAATCAATTAATGCACGTTTAAAATTAGAATTTCCAATAGTGCAAGAAATTGTAAAACTGCCTGGATCTTTCTTTTTGGGTGGTAATTTGTGCTGTAGAACTGCGCTGCACTGTTCAGTCAAAACAACTTTTTCAAAATCAACCAATTTCTTTTTGTGAGTGCACACATCTTTCAAAAATTTGGCATATGATGGAATGTTTTTTATTGCATCAAGTAGTGGCAGATATAGAGTTTGCATGAAGTCCCTCAGTTGCTTGTCTTTTGCTGTTGGCTTCAAACATTCTGGATATGGAATTGGGGCCTCATAAACATGTTCTGTGCATTTTTCTATTGCTGGATTGTTTTTGGCAAGTTGTGCAGCAGCAGGTTCTGTAGGTTTTGCAACAAATTCTGTAGGATTTTCTACAGACTTGTCTTCACTTTTTGCATTCTCATGATTATCATAGCTTTTACCACACCTCAAAATTCTAACAGCACTGCATTCTTCTTAACCCCGTGGATTAGGGACTGTTTGGCTAGGAAATTTGCCTTTTTCTCTTTCTGTGATATGACTTGCTAACTGTTTAAATTGCTTTTCCAGATTTTGAATTGAAGCTTGTACATTTTGCATATTCTGATCATTTTTGTCTATGTACTGCTTTGTAGATTGCATAAACATTTGGAGTGTATCTTCCAAAGAACGTTTGGGTTGCACAACTGGCTGCTGTACATGATTTTGCTGAAAATGTTGCACCTGTTGGTTTCCTCCCCACTTCATATTTGGGTGATCCCTCCAACCTGGGTTATAAAAATTAGAATATGGATCATTTCTGAGTCTCTGAAAATTGTTAAATGCATTTACTTGTTCTGCCACGTGTTCAGGATAGGCATCTTTGTGTGGGCAGCCCATAAAATCATGATTTGGCATGCTGCAGATGCTACAAACTGCTGCAGTAGGCTGCTGTACAGCAACCTGCTGCACTGGTACTGTTATTTTCTGCATAAGCATGTCAACTTTTGAGTCAAAATTTTCAAGTTTTCTCTCCATTTTTTCGATTTGAGCAGATACATGTGGAGTTCCAATTGACATATCAAAAACGCCTCTGGTTTGTGTCTGGTCCGCTGCCCATTGTTGTGTCTCTGTAGCCATTTTCTCAAATAACTGAAATGTTTGTTGAGCATTTTTATCTGAAAATGAAACTCCGGATGATGCATTCACATAACTGTTTGTAGTTGGATTTAAACCCCTGTAGAATATTTGCATTCTTGTGTCCCCATTAATATAAGCATGAGGACACTTCCTGAATAAATCTGAAAATCACTCCCAAGCTTCATGGAACTCTTCATTAGGCTTTTGAACAAAAGATAGAATTTTAGTTCTTATGTCAAGAGTCTTGGATGCTGGATAAAACTTGCTTAAGAACTTTTTGCTTAACTGTGCCCAGGAAGTGATGCTCCCAGATGGGAGTGTAAAAAGTCATGTTTTCGCCTTGTCTTTTAAAGTATAGGGAAAGAGACGAAGCTTAATAGATTCTGCAGAAAACCCTTTAACCAAAATATTCTTGCAACCCATCAGAAATTCAGTAATGTGCATGTTAGGATCGTCATGAGCTAGTCCATGAAAAGTAGGCAATATTTCCAACATGTGATGTCTAATCTCAAAAGTATCGCCTTCATCTTTTGGATAAACAACGCAACTTGGTAATTCGTTAGCATGGGCTGCTAGTGTTTGTCTCAAAGGTTGCCCAGCTTCGGGCATAGCAAAAGCCATTGTTTCTCTACTTTCTGAAACGCCTAAAATTAGGTGCTGCAGAAAAGTGCCCTTCTGGGAAAGATCAGGTGCCAAAAACTGTTCTCGCCGCTACTTTCGTATGTTCTTTCAGGCTCAGGATCAAATTGAACAAGCTGTGCAGAATGTGATCTGGTGCTGACCATGCACAAATTTCAGTAATCTGAAGAAATAAAAAACGACAATTAAAATTAAAGAGATTTTTTTTTTTTGAACGAAAATAATTAATTAAGAATATGATAAAAACAAATTAATTAAAACAATCCCCGGCAACGGCGCCAATTTCTTGATAGGATTTTTACCACATGGAAATAGGGTTAAAATCATTGAAAATACTTGCAAGAATACAAGGTAATTGTAGTATAATTGCTCATGCAAGGTCATTGTCCACAAAGATTGTTTGATTAATTCATAATTAAATCAACTCTTAATTAACTATTGAAACAGATTTTTATCAAAGATTTGAGATTTTTGAGTTTGAAAATGTTGAATTAACAATTAAAGAACCTAGAAGTTAGAAAATAAAGGCAACAAACAAAAAAACGTTTTTTAATTAAAACAATTTAGGGAAAGACTAGGGTTAAGCCGTCACCGTTACAATCCTATGCAATTCTATCAATTACTTATAAATTTCCACATCCATGCTTTGAAGGTTAGGTTTTCCTAACGCATATTTTCCTTGTGATGTTCAAGCGAAAACGTATATCTAACATGCAATCCGTCTGTAATGTTTAGATTAAATATAAACATTCAAGACTCATTAAACTTCGTGAAAACCCTTTGAAAAACCATGCAACCCTTAAGAGCGTGATGTTCGCCTTAAGTGAACTTACAATTACTAATCACAAGAAGCCCTCCTTAATTTCAGGGTGATGTTCCAACAGAAATTGCATCAAATAACTTGTCTAAATACCCTAATGGTGATCAATCATTAAAATATATAGATAGATTTAATCGTGGTGATTAATAATTCAAAGCAAACATGCATCCATTCATAAGCAAATTAATAAAATTACATATTCATGCTACGGTTCATGGCCTAACCCTAGCAAAAGAATTAGTTACGCATACTCATAATAAAAATCAAAGGAAATATCATTCAAATGAGTCAAATGAATGAAAACACCTTAAAGTAGAAAATATCCACGAACCCTAGCAATCACTTTTTGTCCCCAAACTCATCAAAAATTACCCCCTCTATTTAGGAACGGCCAAGCAATATAATTGCTGAGCCCCCCTACAAACCGTAAAACATAGGTCTCTTATTCCAACTAGGGAAGTAAATAATAAAATAAAATACTTAGAAAATAAAATCCTAATTAAACTAGGAAAAACTGCAAGGGAACTGTCCAGCCACGTTTTAGCCTCAGAAATCCTCCAAATCCGGCCCATAATGGCTTGTTTTCCAGAAGGCCACGAACCCATCCGAGGTCATCTTGGACTTCAAAAATACAATTTAAGCCCAAAACGTCACTATTCCAGCATTGCGCATTGCTCATTTATTTTATCGCCAGAAAATAACCGCGTGGTAGAAAATTCTGATATTTTGATATTATCAAGCCAAGTGACTTACGAATATCCTCCAACTAGAATTACTCTAAAATTCATCTATTTAATTATGTTTTTCTCTAGAGGAAGTCGAAAGTCCTAAATTAGAAATACAATTCAAAGTATCAAAATTCTTTCAAAATATTAACCAAAATATACCAAGAATAGGGTTAAATATATACTATAAAATCTGCTCATCAATAACTCTTTCTAAAGCTTGAGTAAACATATTTGCAAACAATTTGCTTCCATTCCTCCATATTCCTTATCTCAGCATTAAAACCCATAACAACACAGAAATAAAGTACATGACTCCTGAATAAACGCAGCCTAAAACTGAGCAAACACGTGTCGAAAATCAGGTATACTCCAAAGTATAGCAGACCCCAATAATGATCCACTAGTAACTTTTTGGGTCCTAATTGGTTTCAATGTGAGTCCAATAATTAAGACCCCTTATCTTCAAGACTAACTTGTTCAGCATTTTTCCCCCTAGACCAGATATAAAGTGTTCGCTGTAATTAAAATTTTGCTTCAATGACATTCTCTTTGAACTCCGATTTAGTGATTTTAGAAAACTAAAATTTAAAGAAACTATAATCTTACATAAGATGAAGGATTCAAAGAGTTCACCTTTACCACAAAAGAGGGGAACCGAAAAGTACAAGCGGTTACAATATTCGTCCAGAAGTCTGAAAGGTCTTTCAGTAGGGATTATATTGAACCAGAGTTTCTTTTTAATATCCTTACTGAAGATGTAAATCTCTCTATTAGAATAAATCCATCTCTTTGACAAAAAATAAAATAAAATAAAATAAAGTAACACAAGTGTTTGTTATTATGGCAACTAAAAAGACGTATTGAATCTAAAAGATAATGTCGGAAATGGAGCTTGAGAATGGATATGTTTGGTTAGTTTAGGCTTGAGATATGTTTGGTTAGTTTAGGCTTGAGAAATGATTTCCTGACTCATGGAAAGCCTGGGGAAAAGTTGTCATATTTATGATAACAATGTCATCATTGGTGATTTAAAATGGCAATTACATCTCAAAAGTAGTATTTCTTACCTAATTTTTGTGATAATAGAATTGGTTGGATTTTTTTTTTTTTTTAATGTTTTCAACCAATTGCATTATTTACTTGGTGTACACTGTATTTTCAATACACTGAAAAATATCTCTTAATTTTTCATCGTACCAAACAAGAGAATTTTACATTTCTATTTTTCAACATGAGAAATCATTTCTCATTAATTCCTTTCCGTATACTAAATGCAACCAAATAGTTCCAACTTGCAACTTCCAACTTCCAACTTCCAACTTCCAAATTATCATCCAACAATTTTTGTATGCAAACGTAGAGTATGCAAGGTGCCTTCCGATATTTGCGATGTAAACATAAATGTGATAGAACTTTTAAGATTGTACTTGTATATGTTAACAAAGTTAGTCGGAAGATAGAGGAGAAGGAGCAATCTGCAATCAGAAGTGTGACATGACAAGTGCATTTTTGATCACCATCTTCAAGTGTTGGTAATACTCACCATTCTATTTATCACCGTTGTATTATAATTAAGTTTTGGCTGTTGCTCCACACGCACTATCATTGTTATGTTCATTTTTATTTCCCTTCACCACCCACCTACCCGTGGGAACCAACATAATTATTGAATGAATTCAAACTCTCTCTCTCTCTCTCTTCATTAATTCTTCATGCTCCTCCTCACTCGTAGGTAGTTGTTTGTTATCTGCTCCAACCACAATACATGGACACATGTAAAGTTTTCTTAATATATGATATACTGTTTTTTTTATTCTTCTGGGATTTGAGGCCTTAGCTAATAAGGTAGGATTTAACAGGAACAAAAAGGAAAGATGGAGATAGAGGCGGCAGGTGGTGGTCATAGTGGCGGCGGTGGAAGTGGAAGAGGAGTGTACTTGGTGTGGCAGGATCTAAGTGCGGTGCTTCCAAACTTCAGAAAGGAAGCACCCACAAAGTGGTTGCTCAATGGGCTGAGTGGGTTTGCTGAACCTGGTAGGATCATGGCTATCATGGGTCCTTCTGGCTCTGGAAAATCAACACTTCTTGATATTTTAGCAGGCTCTCTCTCTCTCTCTCTCTCTCTCTCTCTCTCTCTCGTGATCTTTCATAGATGAGCACTGCACTGGTAGCACAAAATATGCCTGTGTTTCACGTATATGGTTTCATTCCATCATCCTTTGTAGTTTGTAGATAAAATCCAAACTTTTCACTTTTGGTATTTATTTATTAAAAAGGATGAACTTTTGCATCCAAAAATACTCCTTTACCCAATTTATAGAAAACCCATGATTTTTTAGGAAAGATTATGGGGTTTGGTATGTAATTATACTCGTTAATAATAATTACACCACCCAAAAGTGATGTAATTTGGCCAAAATTAACTAGTTTTTTTTATTTTATTGTTAACTCCATTTGTTCTGTTAAAAAAAGGCTGCTTTAGATTTTGGCCCTTACAATTCATGATTCCTAGATAAAAACTTATCTACATATAAACGTCCAATAAAAATCCAAATTTAAAATATGCAGCCACATCAGAATACTATTGACCTACTAATACAATTTATTTACACCCATGCCACTTTTTCAAATCCCTAAATTTATTCCAAATTAAAAGTTTAGAAAAAGTGAAATAAAATATATAAAATGTTGTATTGCATTAATTGTATCCATATCATACCAAAAATTTACCTTTTTTGTGATATATATATTTTGCATTAATTGGGAAGTAAATTAATTTGTTCCAATTATTAAAAAAAATTATACTAAATCCGTATTATATATTTTGAATCAAATAACACTTCTCTAACTTGTAGGTAAATTATTTTTCATGTATTTATTAGGCACGTTTTATTGGTTGTATAAATATAGGTATGACATAATATTTTTCAATATAATACATCAAATTATATTTCTTCTTGTTATGGGGAAATTATTCTCCAGGTATTAGTGAAAAAGAGAAATTATATTACACACAAGGTATAATTTTTTGTAGGTAAATTATTAGAAATTAATTTGTAGGTAGGTAAATTAATTTGTTCCAATTATATAAAAAAATACATATACTACACCTAGATTATATATATATATATATATATTTTTTATTTTTTTATTTTTATTTATTTATTTTATTATTATTACATATATTAGCCTATTAGGGACTTTTTTGGTAAAAATATATAAAGTAATATGTATATGATTATTTTTCAAAAGCATGATCCAATTCCTAAGTTTATGCAATATTTTGTTGTTGGTATACAATATTTTGCATAATTGGAAATGAACATTTCAAATAGTAGGTAAGTAAATTAATATGGTCTAATTATATAAATACACACACACACACACACACACACATTTTGAATCAAATAACATTTTTGTATATTGTAGGTAAATTACTTTTTTTTTATTATGTATTATTGCATACATTAGGTTGTTTTTTTTTTTTTTTTTTTTTTTTTTTTTTTTTTTTTTTGTAAAAATATATATGTGAACTCATAATGCCAGATGCATAAAATTAGGCCAACAATTCTCATATTTGATATTAATATGCAATGATTGTTTTTAACATTAATGTCTTATTTTTCTTTTTGCAAAATCATTAACTCTCTCCTTACAATCTGCATAGAATTAAAGGAAAACTAATGAAAATGGCTTGAAAACTTTGAGTTTTAATGAATGACAAAATAAATGGTAAAATGAATAGTATCAGGATTGACTTTTTAGTGTAAAAAAGTGGTTTTTCGTTAAAGTAAATAATATTGGGAACTTTTCGTTAAAGTTCCCTATAATTAATTGTGCACATCAAATATGCAATAGGGGTATTTTAGGCATCTAAAAAATGTAAAATGTGTAAAGTAATATGTAATTAATGAATTCACTTAGGTGGATCCGAGTTACTGAGTTTTTTTTTGTGTAAAAAAATATGTCGGGTTTTATATGGAAAAAATTGAATTTGAGGGGTTAAAGTTATATTTTCAGTTAAAAAAAAGGTTCTTTGTCAAAATGGTTTGGCTATGAGCTTTGAACTTCTACGAGTCTTAATTTATTTTGCTTTTTTTTTTTCTTGGAAAAAGGCTTTTAAGCTGCAAATTTCTGAAGGAATTGTATTTATATATCGTCTGGATGTTTAGAAATTGAGCAATCTAAGAAGAAAATGTCTTGTTTGGTCACTTAATACTAGGTCTAATAGTATTCATATTCACTTGTAAGATCATCTCCAACCGTTGGATTAAAACTTGAAATTTTAAACCCAAAAAATTTAGGCTTTAATCCAGAAATAATTTTTCTCCTCCAACTCTTCAGGATTAAATTTTTAACCCGAGATTAGTAAATGATCCATTTAGGATAATTTTTTTCTCATAGTAACTTAAAAAAAAAAAAAAATTATGTAGACTATTCTAATTTAATTTTATGAACCTTTTAGTCTAAAAATATTTAGATTCCAATAAATATTGAAAGTCACTAAATCGACACCATGAAACTCGTGGAACACTGTAAAAGAATATGAAACACATAAAATATATTTTTTTAATTACTTTAGCCGTTGGATTTAAATTTAGACCGTTAGATTTTTTTTTAACCGTTAGATTTGATTATATTAGATTTGAGCCGTTGGATTCAATGAATTTATAAAATATAAAACTAAAAAAATACACATATATGGTCGGTTAGTCCCACTAACTCAAGGGGAATCCTGGTCTAAATTCGCCCATAAATAAGTATTTGGTTAAAACTCATATTTGCCCTAAGGGTTAGAGAAAGTTGGGATGAGTTTAGAACCTAAAATTTGAGTTTTACTGCAAGAGTTGGAGATGGTCTAAGTGAGAGGTCTTATGTTTGATTATTGTCAAAAGTGAATTTGAACCATATTATTACTAGGACATGATGAGGCTTAGCCAACTTCCCCACCCCTTAGTATAGATAATATTTATTGATTGTTCAAAGAAAAAGAAAGAAGAAAATGCCCTTTTAGCTGGAAACCATATCCCGTCGCAATTCCCAAACCCATGGGATATACATATCCTATTGGAGTGCATTTTTTCTAACCACCCCGTAATGCTCATTGCCTTATTGATTATTGTTATATGAGTTTGATTTAATATAGTTGTTAAATAAATATTAAAATTTAAAATCATTTAACGCCAATCAATTGGATGGTAAGCATTACAACCGCTTAATTGTGGTGAGTAACAGTATGAGTGCATCATATCCCATCCTAGGCTGGACTTGGTTTGTACAATCCACGGTTGAAGTCTTGTCCCACATTTTTGATACCCAATAAAGAGCCATCAATTGTACTTGAATGCAAACCAAACTTTGGCGACGGGTCTTTTACTTCTTTTCTTTTCATATGACCATTTGGTATGGAGAAGGCAAATAGACAGAAAGACAAAATTTGAATGCATGACTGGTTTTAAGGGCTTTTACTAGCAACATGGGCACCTAGCATCTTATTTTTCCATTTTTATTGTTTCTTTTTAGTGATTTTTTAATTCAAACAAGGTCTAAAATTCTAATAAGGGGCAGAGATTTTTCAGTGTACTCAACATATGAGTAGGTACACTGTCTATTAATACAAGTAGATGAACAATGAAAAATATATCATCTCTCCGCTTATATTATGTCCTGTGGTGTAGCTAATGCAGTCTTTTAAAAAGTTATTTTTTTTTACTGAAATTGTGCTTGTTTATTTGACACAGGTAGACTCTCAAGAAATGTGGTTATGACTGGAAATATTTTGTTTAATGGGAAGAAGAAGAGGCTTGCGTATGGCGCTGTTGTAAGTAAAGCTTTCTGTTTCCAGTTGCTCATATGAAAAATCAAAAAATTGAAATTCACATTGTAGTTTTTGCTCTCATTGAGAGTTGAACTCAAGACCTTCCGCTTACTAAACGGGTGCTCTAACCAACTGAACTACGAGAGCTGATTGTCCTTTTAAAAGACATAGTAATACTGTTCAACAGAATATTGTTGCCATTGTTTAAGAATATATATCATCTTAATCAAGGTTCTAAAAGACGTTAGGTGCTAGTTGAATTTAAATAAATCTATTATATTTCGTGTAAATAAATGTATGTTTATACTTAAAATATATATAATTTCATTATAAACTACAAAATAGGATGACATATATTTATGAAGATTTGGAACATAATAAAAACATGATGAACAAACTATAATGTTTGTTCACTCAAGTATTCAACAAGTCCCTTACAATTTATTGAAAAAAATAAAATGCAAATGAAAGTTATCTATTTTTTGTCAAAGTGAGTAGCAATCTAGGCGGGTGCCTAGACGGGTATGGACAGGCTAGACGGGTTCCTAGGCAGGCTTAATTTTCAAACACCTAGGCATTAATCGGGGGTGGCCAACCGCCTAGCGCCTAGGCGTAGGCGGGGCCTACGCTGCGCTAGGCGGGGCCTACGCTGCGCTAGGCGGGGATTTTTAGAACAGTGATCCTAATTCACTATAAACTGTGGAATTCCAGGCTTATGTTACACAAGAGGATGTACTGTTGGGAACACTCACAGTTAGAGAAACCATAACATACTCGGCTCACTTGCGGCTTCCGAGTACTATTACTAAAGAAGAGGTTAAGAGCATTGTGGAAGGAACAATTATGGAAATGGGCCTCCTGGAATGTGCTGACCGATCAATTGGAAACTGGCACTTGAGAGGTATTAGTGGAGGTGAGAAGAAACGAGTTAGCATTGCACTTGAAATTCTAACAAAGCCTTGCGTATTATTTCTCGATGAACCTACTAGTGGCCTTGATAGTGCCTCGGCTTTCTTTGTTATTCAAACACTTCGAAGCATTGCTCGCGATGGAAGAACAGTTGTTTCATCTGTTCACCAGCCAAGTAGTGAAGTATTTGCACTCTTTGACGACCTCTTCTTACTATCTGGTGGTGAAACTGTATATTTCGGAGAAGCAAAGACTGCTATTGATGTAAGAGAAGGACTCTTGGCACCCTGTTACGAGTATTTTAATATCTTCAGTGAATAAGTTATTTGAGCCCCATTTTTCTTTTCTTTAACTAATGCTAATTCCATTTTGATTTTTGTAGTTTTTCGCTGAAGCAGGTGTCCCATGTCCCAGTCGAAGAAATCCTTCTGACCACTTTCTACGTTGCATAAATTCAGACTTTGACACTGTGACTGCCACACTGAAAGGATCTCAAAGAATTCGGGTGCATATTAATTCTTAACTCAGTTCTTTAATGCACAATAGGTGCAACGTGGTTATTCCATTTCATGTTTCAAAGTAAACATCCAAAAACACTTCATTGACTTTTACATACAAGAATACATATACAAATCATGTTACTGCAGAATTTATGTACTCCTGAAACTCGCTTGCTGACCATATCGCCTCCTAGTAGTTAATGCCTTTTGAGTTGTTGGATTTTGATTATTCATGAACATATGCTCTTGAGATCTTGACGCGTTACTCATGTCATTGATATTTTGAGAAAATTTATGCATTGATCTCTTCTAATTATATTTAGCTAAAGTTACTCAGCTGCACCTATTAAATTTCTATCTTTCCTTTGCTGATTTCATTCCTCTCCCCCCACCCTTCTTTAGTTAATTATTTAGGGTGATGCTTTTCTCATAATAGTTGTATCTCTGTGTCTGAATTGGTAGGATGTACCAACATCAGCGGACCCTCTCATGAATTTGCCAACAGCAGAGATCAAAGCTAGGCTAGTCGAGAAATACAAGTGTTCAAAATATGCAAATAAAGCGAGAGCCAGGATGCAAGAAATAGCAGCAATTGTAACTTTTCCAACTTGAGCTCTTTAGTCCCATTTCTTTCTGAATTATTAAAATATGCATTGACTTGGTATCCCTGGAAACATATATGAAGTAGTCTATGTGTTGCAGGAAGGACATATCATTGAAATGAAAAGTGGAAGCCAAGCAAGTTGGTGGAAGCAACTTTCAACCTTGCTGCGAAGGTCGTCTCTGAACATGTCTAGAGATGTGGGATATTATTGGTTAAGGATAATCATCTATATAGTTGTATCAATATGTGTTGGTACCATCTATTTTGAAGTTGGCCACGGCTATAACGCAATCTTTGCCCGGGCAGCATGTGGTGCATTTATCAACGGCTTTATGACGTTTATGTCTATTGGAGGTTTCCCATCCTTCATAGAGGAAATGAAGGTAAGCTGATGCAACACAGATGTAAGTATTCATAGTGGCAGTGGTGAAATACAAGACATTTCTGTTGAGTTAAAGCCTTTTCGTGCCTTGTTTTCTTCTTGTAAACAGGTGTTTTATCGAGAAAGGCTCAATGGGTATTATGGAGTTTCGGTGTTCATCATTTCCAACTTCCTCTCTTCATTCCCATTCTTGGTTGCAGTTACTCTTAGTACTGGGACTATTACTTACTATCTGGTGAAATTTGGGCCAGAGTTTTCGCATTATGTGTACTTCTGTCTCGATATATATCTGAGCATTTCGGCGATAGAGAGCCTCATGATGGTTGTAGCTTCTCTGGTTCCCAATTTCCTAATGGGGATTATAACAGGAGCTGGAATCATGGTAAGAAGATACACTCAAATGTTTGATAAGCTTTCCTTTTCTGTTTTCCATCACGCCTATCCTTCGTAGTGTAACCTTCTCAATAAAATGGTTGTGCATGAAGGGAATCCTGATGATGACCTCGGGTTTCTTCCGCTTGTTGTCTGATCTCCCTAAGCCGTTTTGGCGCTACCCAATTTCATATATCGCTTATGGCTCATGGGCACTACAGGTAAATCATAGTGAATCATCTGTCTTTATAACACAAGTTTCACAATGATTATGATAAATGTAAAATCAGATGGTATTGATATGTATTGTAATTCGATATGCAGGGTGCCTATAAGAACGATTTGATTGGCCTTGAGTTCGAGCCCATGATACCCGGTGAACCAAAACTTACGGGCGAGTATATCATCCGGCATATATTTGGGATACCAATAGACCACTCCAAGTGGTGGGACTTGGCTGCTGTTTTAGCCATTCTTACAATGTACCGGGTTCTTTTCTTCCTAATTCTCAAGTTCAAGGAGAGTGCGTTGCCAGTGTTTCAGTCACTCTACGCAAAAAGAACGCTACACCGTCTCGATAAGAGGCCGTCCTTCAGGAAACTACCCTCCATTTCTTCCAAGAGACACCAGGCTCTCCACTCACTGTCTTCTCAAGAGGGCCTCAACTCTCCACTGCACTAGAACTGGCATCGCAGTACTCATGAGAGTTTTGTAAGGAACAACTATTACAGTGTAATCTCTCCCATGCTGTTTATGTAATTAGTCATTCTTTCTCTGAAAAAAATCAGATAAAAATGTAGGGAGTTTCTGTTGGCGTTTCATATACAGAAACTGTTTAATAAAAATATATAAATATAAATATATATATATATATATATATATATATTTATCATGGAATAACACAATACCAAGGTCGTTAGCCGGTTTAATGTAGTTTCTTTTGCCAAATTTAAATCCAGTTTCCCTGATCTCATATATGGGATTCATCAATCATTACACTTTTTAGAGTAAAATTGTTTAGACATCACATGCTGCAGTCTGAACCTAACATTTTGCAAACATTACAATGATTTCCTTCCTTCAGTTTTTAGGTTATTTTAAACAGTTTTGTGCTTGCATGTAATGTGTAGTTTCTATTTTCCGATGATGCTAAAGAGAATGAAAGGTTCCAGTGATTATGTTTGTACAGGGAAGATACGGGTACAAGTGGATTCCCTCTTATGGCTTGGTGCGGTTCAGGTTGGTTCGGTTTTGGGTCCAAATCACAAACCAAACATCACACTTTGGTTTGCCTAAATTTCAAAACCGAAGCATAAGGACAAAAACCTAATGTAATCAGTCCTCTAACGTTGAGATTCGGTTTAGTTCAGTTTGCGGTTTAACATGTATCAACTACCGAATGAAAAGTTTAGAGCTATGTCAAAGTAAATATTAGAAAAAAGAGGAAACTTGATATAAGTTCAATTTTATGAGTCATTATTGGATTTGGTCACTTTGTTTGGTTAGGTCCACTCACTAATTATTCACATCAGCTTATTTTTATGAGCAATGCTAGATAGACCAATTTAGTAATGCTCCATAGATCAATTTTATAACTAATTATCCACTTCAGCTCCTTTCTTAGTGTTCTTACTCCAATTCATAATTTCATATGCAGGTTGATGCATACAAAGAGCATTACATTACGGAAGCTCAAGCGCCATGCCATAGGTCCTCTCAAGAGGAACTTAACTCTCCACACTCCACCGCGCAATGAGTCATGAGCCATGAGGGCTTTATAAACAACTAAAAAAAATGGCTCTAATTAATTTAAAGTTAAGACAATTGTAATTAAATTAAGAGGTGATTTGTCAATGATGTGGAAATAAATTAACATGAATCTCAATTAATTATAAGATTTTAATAAAAGAGTCACATTGCACATAGAGCCTCCATCTTCCTAAACGCCATTGTCCATCAAATGGAAAATTACAACCACCACATGGTGGTTCAGTGGTTGAAGACGAATTATAGGCTTGTATTCCATATGGCATGTCCTGGGTTCTATTCTTGGCACTGGTGAATTACAAGATGGTGGCCAGAAGAGGGTGAAATGCCTTTGTGAGTCTTCCTGCCCTCGAGAAGGGTGAACTGCCGTGACGAAGTCACCAGCTAATCTCCTTTTTCATATAAAAATAAAAAAATCAAATCAAATGGAGAATTACACCATTGTTCATGAAAGCTTTCACAAATAAAGAAATTAAGATCATACCTTAAAGGTATGTTGAAAGATGAAATAATGGTAGGACAACTTGGATGATAGAAGAAGGATTACCGTTTGGACCCAAAATATTGGGCTTGGGCCGAATATAACTATGGGCTTGTCACATAGCAAAGATCTTCAATCGTGTCTTATGTTTCTAAAATTTGGACGAAGTCCAGCCAAAGGTAGGATGGCCAAATCCTAAGAGATGAAGGACTCTTAGGGAGTCAAGTTGAAATGATTCGGTTGAGTCCTAATATGAGTGAAATTGTTTTAAACATCAGGATGAAGGTTGATAATATTCATAATATTCCAAGAATAAAGGTTCAAGATCAAGAGTGAATTGAATACAAAAAGGAACTGGGTTCAGAGTCCTAGTTCCAGTGGGAGTGGCCAAGCTTTATGCAGAGGTTAGGTTTATCTGATAGAGTTTGGATCAAGGAGTGTCGAGGAGGTACAATCCAGGTGGGACTCTACTTTGGCATGAAGTGATTAGCTCAAAAATTACTCCTATAAATAGAAGAGGTTTTGGAACATTCAGAGGACCTTCAACTCAACAATCAAAACTACCATGCGTAAATTCTCGATCTACGCGGAACCCTATCAACCCTTTGATAAAACACTAACTTGCCTAACTTCGTCAACACATTTTCAGTTTGAATTAACAACACTGTGTTGACAATTGACGACATTTTTAGTTTGGATTAGCAACATTGAAGTAGTGGAGTCAGGGGATCAAGGAGCACATTCAATTTGGAGTAGCAGCATTGCTTGAAGTTTGTTCAACTATCTATTCAAGTCTCTGTTAGTGAGTTAGAATGTCACCAAGTTACAATTTTGAGAACATTGAAAGCAAAATGTGAAATCCCACTCTTGGAGAGAGGGAGAAAATGAGAGAAAAGAGGGAAAGAGAGGGACCACTTAGAAGGAGGGAAATGAGGGAGGAGAGGGGAACACTGGATCCCTTAACTCGCATGACTCGGTTTCTGGTTACTTTTTTGTTGCCTTTGTCTGTTGGTTTTCTGATGAGTTAGAACCACCCATCACCACCACAAGACACCCCAACCTCCCCTATTAAATTCCCACCCAAATTTGACACGGTTTTACCTTGTTTCGCGATGAACTACTCTGATGAGTTCTTGAGTCTGGCGGCGGCGATGAACTATTCTTCACGATCTTCATTTTGGTATAATTTGAGAATTTTTGGAGTTAGGTGAATTTTTTTTGGCGAGTTATGGCGGCCGACCCCCGCGTGCAGCGGCGCGTGGCTTGAGAAACCACTTGATCCTTCTAGGCTACATTGGATACCCCGGTTCCATATTTGACACCCAATTAGTGACATTATGTCATTTGAACCTAGTTTCATTAAGGAAGACGACTTGATCATTGTAGCAAATGATGATCTGACCGTTTGATCGTTACCACACTTTAGTATGTTCTTGTATGTAATATTTAAGAATTTTAGAAACTTACGGATTGGAAATCTGGTAGAAGGATCTTCTTGGTTGGATTACTAGGATTGACTTTGGTCAAGATGTTCTGAAGTGTTCTTCAGTACTAAAAGTAGCATTACTAGAGACCTAGTGGAGCCTAGTGGGCCTATCTTAGTTAGCAAGTTATCCCAGGTGATGTGCACCTCTATATACATGCAAGTTTCATCTTATTATGTTATACATGTTTATTGAACTTCTATGTGATTCGAATGAAATGTACAATTTCTAGTATAGAATTACGAGCCTGGAATCCTTTTAGAAGTATTAAGTAGAACTTATATGCTTAAATGAAAAGATAGATAGTGGCCATGAGAAATTGATAGTGTAGGTGCTTACATTGTAAATCATAGGGGTTGAGGTAGGGGTAGGTTATGTGTGGATCTAACTGCACCATGTAGCAGTCGTACATGGATGGTCCTGCTTGGTATATCTGCGATGGAGGACCATACGTATTTTAGGGGTGATCATGCTTGGTATATTCGTGATGGGTAATCACTGCCTGCACGCTTAGATTATGTCTATGGTTCTACTTGGTATATCCGCAATGGGGGACCATGCACATTTTAGGGGTGATCATGCTTGGTATATCCGCGATGGGTGATCATTGTCTGCACGCTTAGATTATGCCTATGGTTCTGCTTGGTATATCCACAATGGGGGACCACACGCATTCTAGGGATGATCATGCTTGGTATATCCACAAGGGTGTGATCACTGCCTACCTAGGTTTATGAGGATTAGTTGTACTTGGTACATTTCGATAGGCGACCATATTTTAGTTGGATTTCGTTGAGTGGTCTAGAATCCCCACTCTTGTTCATTTCCATAAAGTTAGTCTTGAACCCTAGATTTGAGTGAATGAGAATACTCATAGAAGACATTGTGTTTATAAATTAGATTTATCATGTTATTACTTGGAATCTAGGTGGGGAATTATGTAGAATTCCTTGATTAAATTTCGTGAATTGATATGTGATCTTGTTGATTGATTAAAATAGTTAAATGTTAATATCGTGCATCTTTGATTCATGGAATTGATTAATTGGAGTGATTTTGGAATAATGTTGGATATTATTGTTATTATTATAATCAAATTAGTTGACCAAAGTGGCTAGAGAATAATATTGTACTTCGTTGGTTCTTTGATAGGTTACATGCTATGGATTGCAGTATTATGTTCAAACATATTGATTTATATGATGGATGAAATATAAATCTTGAATGTCTTATGGGTTTGTTGTGTAGCCCTGAACCTAGTAATTTCGTGCTTGTCAAGTTCTAATAATTGATTGAGGAATGCTATGCTTTTCTGTTAGAACGTACTATGATAAACATCGGAGTTTAAGGAATGGTGAATTACAAATGGCTTGATCCCGTCTGAGGGTACGTAGGCATTCTAACGAGGAGGTTAGATGCAGCCATAAAGTATATGAAAAATTACTATGCAATTGGACCTTGAGTGGTGTTTTGTCCATATCTCGGAGGCAGGGCATGATAGATGGACGGGTACATGCACGTATTGATCCTGGACGTATGCAGGGTTTGAGGCGTGACACAGAACCCATTTTATGATAGGATATTCACAAGTGCATTTCAAAGTTCGATATTCTTTATAATTTAATTCTGATTCAGCGCACTTATATTTTCACGAATATAATTGAGGCAGTCAAACCCGGTGCAGAAGATCCTAAACTTCGCAGTTACTAACAGCCTTGTCTTCAGGCTCTAGAACCCAGAGGCCAATACGAGTTCCTTCATCAGCTGCGATCGCTCAGATACAAAAGTCGGTAGCACATTCATCCACCACCACCATGTTCATTCTACTCACAAACCGAGCTTGGTCGATGAGTTAGCACGATGTATTCAACCGAATGATTTAGTTAGCTCATTTGCTATTAGGCCTAAGCACCACGTAGGCGTGATAGTTTTTAGGGCCAACAATTACACATGAAGAAAACTTATCCACTCTAATCCTCTTTAAAATGGTAAGATTATAAGGGATGAATTTCTTTCATAGCTAATCCTCTTCTAATCCCCTCCAAATGAAAAACTATTCACTCCACCTTCGAGATACCTTGAAATTGATTGTTCTCTATTCAAATCAATCATGTGTACTAAAACGAGCCCACAAAGGTTTCAGGATTACCACGTCATCAATTTAATGAATTATCATACAATAAATGAGACCGAAAACATAG